GGCGAGCGAGAGGGAAATGAGAGGGGGAGCGTTCGAAGGGGACGGGCTCAGGGGGGGAGATCTCGAGCTGGAGTCGGCGGTGCCTCGCCGACAGATCGCCGATGGTCCCCCGATAGTGAGTCCGGACGTTCCTCTGTGCGGGGCGGGCCATCGGGCCAACTTTCGGGGACGATTGGGCGATCGAGGATCGATGTCCAGTCGGGGCGTTGACCTAAGGAACCCTAAATAAGGAGCGAGGCCCCTTTTTTCCATGAGTTAAACTTCGATTCCCTATCGAAAACTTATGGAAAACAGAGGGCAAGCTGTAAAACAATCAAGGAACACCGAGCCCCTCCCCAACGAACAGGGTTCCTTCTTCAGCGCCCCGACAGTATTCCCCCCCGGAACCCATCGCTCCCTGACGTTGCCCCCGCAGGAGGCGAGGGAAGAGTCAAATACAACACACGCACAAACTTTCGGAGGTGCGCGCGGATTTCTTGGGTCAACGCTGGGCCAACCCCAGAAACCCGCGCGGACCATGAACATTTGGCCGATTCCGGAAATCCTGAACCCAAAAACGTTTTCATCTCTTGGAAGCGCATCTTCTACTTCCGCCGCAATCCGCCAGCCTTCCGCCGCCTTCCGCCAGCGGAAGCGGTCTCGCTTTACTTCCACCGACCTTTCGCCGACCTTCCGCCGAGGAAGAGATGACAACTCCATCGACCCTCGAATGCAAGGCCCTTTCGGGAACGCCCCATTTGATTATCATGCAATTATTTCTTCTACGATCTGCTCGGGCCAACAATCCTGGCAAGGCCCAGAGGGCCCAGGATTGGGGCTCATTCGCCCTCCTGGCTTGGCCAGGGAGGCAGATGCACCGATCCTGGGCCGCACGCCAGGCAAGATTGATGAGGCTCTCAGTTGACGTCCCCCGATGCGCGTCCCTCGAGCGTCATTGAGTGGGCATGCTCAAAACGACGCTTGCGGTTGCACCGAGGTCACATTTGCTCATTTCTGGCGCTTGTAGACCTTCTGCAGGAACATTTCAAACACGGACCAGGGCAAGCCTGCCGCCTCGACCACAGGCTTCATGGCCATAATATCGTCATAAGACTGCTGCTCGTAGTCCTGGTATATTTTCTCGAGCTTCATGTCCTTATACATTTTCTTGATCATCTTCTCCTCGGCCGAATCAATCTTGCACTTCCCGTAGTGGTCATCTAAGAACTTCTTCTGCTCTGGACTCGCAAGCTTGTTGAACGCCTTCACGAAAAGCCAACCACATTTCTTATCCTGAATGTCTGTGCCGATCTTTCCGATCTGCTCTGGGGTACCGAACGCATCCAAGAAGTCATCCTGCGCCTGGAAATAAACGCCCATTTTCAAGAGCGGCTCCCTGGCCACGTCGAAGGCCTCCTTGCGGTTGATGCCGGCAACCACCATACCCAGAGCTACCGAGCAATAGAAGGAGTAGAACGCAGTTTTGTACTTGACGATCAGAGTCCATCTGTCCTCTGTGAAGTCGTCGAGGGTGATGTTTGTGCACAGCAGGTCCAGGAGTTGCCCGCACTCGGTCTGGAAAGTAGTCTCCATGAAGAGGTCCACGAGCTGGTGGTAGTACGGCTCCTGCCAGAAGTGGCGCTTCAGCGTCCGGAAGACAAACATCTCGATCATGAACGCATCGTTGATTCCGATCTTGCCGACGTCCTCGTTCTTGTACCAGCAGGGCTGGCCTCGACGAGTCTGGGAGTCGTCCATGATGTCGTCCGCGACCAGCAGCCAGGCCTGCAGCCACTCGATGCACCAGCCCAGCACGGCCAACTTGGTCAGCGTGTCGCTGTCCACCTCCCGGCCCTGGTGCCGCAGAAGTATCTCGCCACTGGCAACCACCATCAGGCCGCGATTCATCTTCCCGCCCTTGACGTTGTAGTCGAGCATCCTGCGCACCCATGCCACCTCCCTCTGGGGCATCTCGAAGCTCCCCGGCAGCTCGGCCACGGCCTCGTTGACGAGGTAGTCGCAGACCCTCATGAACGACTCCTTCTCCTTCCCCTTCGACGTGTCGTACGTGGGGTAGCCCTTCCGGGGGTTGCTGCCCAGCGAGAGCACGGTGGACGACTCGGTCGCCGGATATCGGGTGACGGCGTGCCGCCTCGAGGGTGCTGCTCGTGAGAGCAGATAGGCCGTCGCCGCCAGGCCCCCGACGGCTCCGACGGCTAGTGGGACGGGCACCCTCAGCAGCTCCTTCCCGTTCCACACCAGCGAGAGGCCAGCACCGTCCATGGCAGGGCTCTGCGCCTCGCCCGTGGCAGGCGCGAAAGCGCAGCGCTTCCCTTCCTGCCCGTGAGCTTCGAATCCCAGCGGCTTTGAGCCAAAACTGCTGTGTTGCGATCGTCGCCTCGGGCTGCTTTGCTTGGACGGCTCGGGGGGGCCCTGGAGTTCCTCGTGAAGGTCGCTGGAGGCCCACAAAACACAGAAACGTCAGACACGAAAATATCGGCAGGCCTCTGGACGCAAACGAAATATCATACCCCCAACAAAACCTCGATCCTCGTACCCTGATCCTCCTCTGGCGCAAGAAGACTGGCCGCGTTCTGAGCAAACTGGGCACCTTGTGTGGCAACGTGTGCACAGCTCATCAAACCCGGGCCTGTACAGCACAAGCCGCTGCGCTGCAGCACACACACACACACCGTCTGGCGACGGGGGAACCGCGCCATCCCAAACCCAAGACCCAGGGAGCTCTGAGCCTTCCTGAGAGGCCTCCTGCCGCGCACGCCCCACTTCCCCAGACTGGCGACCCTCTTGGAGAGGCCGCAGCTGGCACTGGCGGCGAGCCAGCTCGGGGGCCATGCTGCAGCTCCAGTGCGCAGCAGCCACCTCTGCAACACCACCGTGTCTGGCTGGGGCCATCCTGGGCCACGGCATCGTGTGCGCTCCACTACTTGCAAAGTAACTACTCGCAAATGGCCTGGATCCGCCGCGGGGGATCTACGATAACTCTAATCGAAGCGAACCTATGGTTTTCGGACGTTTGCGAGTAAGGTGAGGCCCTGTGCGAGCAGTGGAACGCGTTTGGTGACTCGTGCCGAGCCCAGGGCGGTCGGCGCACTTTCCCAGACCCCAGGGGTGGCCCTGGCCAGGCATGGTGGTGGTGGTGGTGGTGGTGGTGGGAGCCTCGGGCCCGCAATCTGAGCTTCGGATTCGCGCTTCTCTGCTGTGCGTCTCTACGAGGGCGCGCCGCTGGATAAGCCCAAGGGGGAGGGGTGGGACCTCCCCCCCCCTTTCCCCGATCCGTCGTCGGAACCCCCCCCCCATCCCCCCTTTCCTGGTCCGTCGTCGGCTCTGTGGTTGGCCGCCAAATTCGACCCCCCCCCCCCCCCTGCCCCCATTCGCCACGGCGCCCCCAGGCTCCGGAACCCGACCCCTACCACCCTTAACGCTACCACCCCGACCACCCGTAACCCTCACCCCAAACCCTAACCCTAGCCCCGAACAGTACTCAGTACTCATTATTCATTACTCACTACCCACTACTCACGACTCGCAAGTCACTACTCATTTCTCACTACTCACTGCTCACTGCTCACGACTCACTAGTCACTACCCACTACTCACGACCCACTACCCCCTACTCCCTACTCACTACTCACTACTCCCAACTCACTACTCAATACCCACTATTCACCATCCACTTTGCAATACTCACTATTCACTAGACACTATTCACTACCCACTACTCACTACTCATTAATCACTAATCAATATCCACTAGCCACTATCCACTATTGAGTACCCACAATTCACTACTCATTACTCACTGCCGACAACTCACTACTCACTATCCGCTGCTCGCTACCGGCTACTGCCCACTCCTTACACAGTACTCACTGCTCACTACTCACTACTCGCTACTCCCTGGGCGCTCCTCGCTACCCGATACGCACTATTCACTACCCACTACGCACTACTCACTACTCAGTACTCACTACTCCCTACTCCGTACTCTCTAGTCACACGCCACTACTAACTACTCACTACTCACTTGTCACTACTCACGACTCACGACTCACTACTCACTACTCTCTACTCGCTACTCCCTACGCACTACCCACTACTTACTACCCACTTCTCACTTTTCACTACGCACGACCCACTCGCTACTCCCTAATCGCTACTCACTACTCCCTACTCGCTACTGACTACTCCCTCCTCGCTGCTCACTACTCACACTGCCCTACTCGCTATTCACTGTTCACTACTCGCTGCTCCCAATTCGATACGCACTATTCACTACCCACTCCTGACTGCCCACTACTCACTACGCACTACTCACTACTCACTACTCACTACTCGCTTCTCACTACTCGCTACTCACTACTCCCTACGCACTACTCACTACTGACTACTCCCTCCTCACTACTCACTACTACTCACTACTCACAATGCCCTTCTCGCTACTCATTCACTACTCACTACTCACTACTCACTATCCCGAGGCCAGGCCCCCACCCCTTGCGGAAGAGGCCCCCTCCCCGGCCCCCTGTTCGGCGGGGGGGAGGGGGGGTTCGAACCCCTCCCCCTCCAACGGGGGGAGGGGGGGGGGGTTCGAACCCCTCCCCCCCCCTCCAGCGCCAAGGGGGGAGGGGGAGAGGTCCGGACCCCCACCCCCCCCTCTTCAAGGGGGGGGGAGGGGGGGGTTCGCCCCTTTGAAGGGGGGAGGGGGGGTGTTCTGCGAACACAGCTCCCCTTTTTTGTATTCAGGGTCATCCACTGGCGCGCTTTCCGTCTCTACGGCACGACCTGTCACACAGTGGGGGCCAGTGGACAAGGAACCCTTAGATAAGGAACCCAGGGTCTGGAAGCCACTGGAAGCCCAATCGTGGATCGGCCATGGGTATCATCGCCGCCCTCATCAGATAAGGAATCCTCCAGTGTCTGCGGCCTCCTGGCCACATTCCTTAACTAACGCCCCCACCGTTGTGAACATAATTGGCCCAGGGAGGAGCATGATCAAGAACTATGTTGTCTGATATGGCACGTGTGACAAAACGTAAAGACGCAAAAGGAGCCGTAATGCAGAGAGCGGTCGCCAGCTGTACACTACAAGGCAACGCAGGGAATCACCAACCACTTCTGAAAATACGCTCGCAATTGCGCTGCAACGGCACTGGGCAACGACTGCAACTGTTGCCGCTGTCGCGCGGCGAATGTTGGCTAGTCAAGGCGGCTGCCATGTGCGACCTACGGATAGCTGGACCTGCGTTCGTCTCTTTGCACTGAAACCACCGACAAGAATTCGGTAGAAAAGGCTTCGAGCATTGCTTGGAGAAGCCAACGCCTGACGAGTTCAGCCTTCCGTTCGGCAAAGGCCACTTGAGATCCACCCCGGTTCGGCACCCGATCAGAATCAGCAGCCTCGCCAGACAATCGATTAGCAGCAGCATTGCCAACAATTATCGCAGCTGAAATGCCACGCTCCACGGCCTTATCGATAGACAAAATGCGGGTTCACATGCATTACGGCAACATCGCCAGCTCCCACACATGAGAGGCAAGGTCTAACGCATGAGGGTATTCAAAGTTTCGCGCATGCCAATCATTCAATACACCTCCGCTGTCAGTACCGTAACACAGGCCGAGGGGCCCGACATAGTGCGAACAGCAAGATGCGTTGTGAAGGCTTGGTGCTCGAAGGTGTGCCCCCCCCGCCTCAGGCGAAGAAGTGGGAGACCAGCGCCGCCAGCACTGCGGCCAAGCCCAGGCCAAAGCGCGGCTTTGCCGCACTCCATGTGCACTGCATGCGCTCGCTGATGACTGGACCGACCTGTGTCACGATCTCGTCCGCGGACTCCTGCAGACCAGCGCACTGAGTTGTCGCGAGCGACATGAAGTCCTTGACGAGGTCGATTGTCTCAGGCGTCATGGGGTAGATCTTGCTCATGTGGGGCAGCATGAGCTCGGACATCTGCCAAATATTGTGCAGGGAGGTGTGCATGGTCGCGAGCTTTGTGTTGTAGTCCGTAATGTTTGACATGAGCCCAGATATCTCGTTGCACGCGTCGGCCTGGGACGCAGCCGCGAGCGCGCTTGCGTTCACGCGCAGCGGGACCGCCTGCTCGCGCAGCTGCTTGATGATGGGCATGAAGGCCTGCCGCAGCTCCCTTGGCATCACGACGTTGAGGTCCCTGGCGAGCTTCTGCGCGTCCGCATGCATGGACTTGACGCGGAACGACGCCTCGTGGAAGTAGCGCGTCATCAGGAACGACAGCTCCACGTCCGACGCCCTGCCGCTCGCCAGCGCGAACTTCGCCGTCTTGCGGCGGGTGATGTTCAGAAAGTCCTGGACGGTGTTGGCGATCTCGACCTTGGCCTTGTTGATGCGCTTCATGAAGAGCGGATTCTCCGTGGCCTTGGGGAGGGCCATCATCACCTCGGGAAGAGGAGGGGGGGACGAGGAGAGCGAAGGCCAGGGGCGGGCCAGGAAGTCACGATCCAAGGCCGACTGGGGGGAAGCCGCCGTAAGACGGGGCGGGAGGAAGACCCTGAGGCAGGGGTGGCTTCGGCAGCTGAGCTGCAGACAGGTGACGGCGGGGGGGGCGGGCGGCTTGAAGAATGTGGATGCGCTTCTCCAGGAGGGAGATCTCGAGCCCTCACCAGGAGCAGGAGAACGCCAACTGCACACAGGCACCGATTCTGGCCCAGGATCGACGCACGCGCAGTCCTGGCTTGAGCAGGGAACTGCGTGCACTCACCCATGGCCCAAGATCGGCCTGGCGAGGGTCAGTGCAGGTGTACTTTTGACGGGCTCCAGAAACCCCTGAACAGATCCTCTCTGGGATGACCGATTTTTGTTTCCGCCAGTCTCCGTCAGCCTTAAAACAGGGCTAGGATCGGGATAAATCGCTGCAGAGCGTTCCGGAGCGCTCTCAGAGCGTTCCGGAACGCTCTGGAGCGGCCGCGGCGCCCAATACATCCTCCAAACCCGCCGATTCTCAGAGATTTCGAGTTATCCCGATCCGATTTTGTCCCGATCTTCGCGTCGTTTTAAGCCTGCCGCTGGCAGAGGCGGCATCCTTCTGCTGCCCCCGCCTTCCGCCCCCCCGCCTTCCGCGGGCCTTCCGCCGAGGCAGGGGGTCCCACTCCTCCGAGCCTTGCAGGCGAGGCCCTTTCTGGAGCGCGCCACTCGGCGCCCTCAGGCGGAGGACGACCTCCCCACCACCCCGACGTTTTATAACCTTAATTATATATATATATATATATATATATATATGTGTATATATATATATGCACATATATATTACATAATGAGCTGTATATATATATATATATATATATATATATATATAAGCGTCGACCCCCAGAGGTCTCGACCCATTCCCGTGGACCGGTTCTTCGTCCTGAGTCGTTTTGTGTTCGCGCTCCCGAGGCCCGGCACGGGCCCCCGGGCCGAAAAACTGCCGAAAAGCCTCCCCTCGTGATTTCTTCACGACGCGAGGAGATCTGGGATTGGCGCCCTCTGGCAGAGGGCGCCCGTCTCGGCGGCGACGATAGGGGCGAACAGCCCAGGGGCGGGCACTACACGCATTCGCTGGGGAGCCTCGCCGAAGACATGAGTCATCGGCGCCCCTGGAGACGTGCATTGCTCCCCCCTGGGCCACATCTTCGCCCCTATGGTCGCCTCCAAACCTCGGCGCCCCTCGCCTCCGCGGCCGCGCACGGGCGCCCGGCGCGCTCGAGGGCGGGCCGCGGAGCCGGCCGCGCGGCCCGCGCGGGCTGGAGCCCGGCCGCGGGCCGCCCCGCGACGGCGGGCCAGTCGCGGGCCCTGGCGAGCTCGAGGAGGTGCTCGCGGAGCCCGACATCGGCAGCGCGGGCAAGCTCGCGAGGGGAAAGGAGAGAGGAGGAGGAAGGGGGAGGAGGAGGAGGAGGGGGGGGAGGAGGAGGAGGAGGAGGAGGAAGGAGGGAGGAGGAGGGAGGAGGAGTAGGAGGAGGAGGAGCAAGGAGTATGAGGAGGAGGAGGAGGGAGGAGGAGGAGGAGGAGGAGGAGGAGGAGGAGGGAGGAGGGCGGAGGAGGAGGAGGTAGGAGGAGGAGAGAGGAGGAGGGGGAAGAGGAGGAGGAGGAGGAGGAGGAGGAGGAGGAGGAGGAGGAGGAGGAGGAGGAGGAGGAGGAGGAGGAGGTGAGGCGAGGCGAGGTGAGGTGAGCAAAGCCAGAGCGCGCGGGTCGAGCCGACGCGACTGGGTGGGTCCGCGGGCCCTCGCCTTCGCCAAGGCTCAGGAGGAGGAGGAGGACGTCTTGGCGGCCTTGGGCCGCCTGCCAGCCGCTCCTTCCTCGTCGGCTGCGGACACGCCTCGGCGGCGGGCCGCAAGGGCGCAACCAGGACGGCTTCGCCCAGCGCCGCCCGCAGCGCCTGCAGTGCGGCGCGGCGCCCGCGGAGCAGCCTCGGGCGCCTCGGCCGACGGCCGCTCGCCGTCCACGCCCTCCCCGAAGCCTGCCGCCCGCGCTCTCTTCGCAGCTGGAGCGCTCGAGGGGCGGCCGGCGCGGGCGCGGCGGCCAGCGATGGGCTCTGTGGCGGGCGCTCGTCGGACCGCATTCGGGAGGGGCTCGGGCTCGTTCCGTGCGGAAGCCTCGCGCCTTGGTGCCCTCTTGGCCGCAGGCGCGCTGCCAGATCGGCGATCCCCACCTGCTGCCCGCGCCTCTCGGGACAGCTCCCTCGAAGGCCTCGGCGGAGCTCTGGAAGCCTCTCTGCTGGCCGACCTCGCCCGCTTCGCAGCGGGCGCACTCCTGGGGCGCTCTGGGCTGCGTCCGGCACGGCCTGCCGCACTGCTAAGGGCGCTGGCGGCCTGCAAATCAGCTGGAACGGCTCCTGGACTGCGCGCCGCCTCGTCAACGCCGAACTCGAGGCTGGGTCCGGCAGCGCCGTCGGCGGCCTCGGCAGCGAGGCGGGCGGCCTCAGCGCAGGTGTGGGCCTTGGGCCACAGGCCTCGGCGAATACGGCCCAAGTAAGCTTGCCCCGTCGCCGTCGGCAGCTTGCCGTCGGCCGTCGGGCACAGCCCTCGGAGGCATCTACCCAGGAGGCGGCTCGCCGCGGGTGCGAAGAAGACGCGCCCGATGCACAGAACCAGACGTCGAGGGTCGCGTGCAGCTACATGGTGTGGCTCTCATGCGGCTCACCTCCGCAGACGTGGACTGCTCCCTCGGCGAGGGCGTGGATGTCCGGCCCCGCCACTCGCAGCCCTGCGCACGGTGTCCGAAGCCAAGCCGTGCGGGCCCCGTGCGAGGCCGAGCAACGACGCCTCTGGCAGCCGCCTGCGTCATCCAGCACGTGCGTGGTGCAGAAGACGGCGACGGCCTGCCGCCCAGGAGGCGCCTGGCGGGCCCGCCGCGGCTTCCTCCTCTTAGCGGACTGGCCCTCCGCCTCGATGGCGTCGATGGTAGCCCGTAGCAGCCGCCTCCTCACTATCGGGGCCGCGTGCTCGTCGCGAGCGACGCGCCCGCGGGCCTCCGCAGGAAGCCGCGCCAGGTTTGCTGCGACCTCGGCGATCGTGTCCGCCACGGCGTTGCCCTGCACGAGCCAGCTGTCGACTCCGAAGGATACGGCCTCCTCGGAATCCATGTGCGAGAAGACGCGGGAGACTACGAACTCGCCGCGCGGCCGTCGCGCGAACTCCTCGCCGATCAGTCAGTCGCCACAGGTCGGCGTCCTCGCCGCGCGGGGTCTGGTCGCACCTGCCCCACCAGCCCTCGCAGACCGCCAAGTTGTCGGAAATGTACAGGGCGGGGCCAGCCGACCCCTGAACGGCAAGCAAAAGCGCTCAAAGTTCGCCGCGATGAAACGTCTGCGAGTGCCCAGCCAGGCCGCCGATAACAGCGCGTAGTACACGTCCGCTGCGGGCGTCGACCAGCGCGACGGCCAAGCCTACTCGCCTAAGAGCGGGGTCGTGTCCGTCAGGGCCTCCGCTCGCATCTCCGAAGAGCACGAGGGGGGTAACCAGGGTGCCTGTGTCAAGGTCCCCGCTCGAGACCGTCGCCGACGAATCAATGCCGATGCCAGTCCAAGCTTCCTGCGCGAGCGGGTTGGGGACCTCGGTCCAGGAACGCGGGATGATGCCTCTAAGCCAAAAGCCCGCGTTGGCGTCGCAATCGGCGCGCGCTCGTGAAACGAAGTGATTGCTGTCGGCGCGCGCCATGCCGCCGGTGTTGGCGGGGCACGACCAGCGCCGGTGGAAGGCTGACTCGACCTCGCCGCCGCAGCGGGGGCAAAGGCCCTCCTCCTTCTCGCCGAAGGACTCCTGCCTGCGCTGCCGCGGCTAGCAACCTCCGACAACGATGGTTTTGGGTTCCCGGAATGGGCACGGAAAGATGGGGTACAATGCCCAACATCAATTGCTGCCCAAAACCAACAGCGGCCGCTGTTGGGCAGGCGGCTTCTTGTCTTCAGTGAACCAATGTCCGCGGCGGCGCAGACAACGAGTCCTGTTCAAAATGAACAGGGACTGCTGTTGGGCATCGTACCCATTCTTTCCGTACCCATGTCCGTCGTCCCGAATGGTGGCCATCATCTTCTCGAGGGCAGCTCCTCCCGGCAGCTGGCCCAGCGTGCGCGGCAGGCGCCGGTGGGGCGCCATGTCTGCGCCGCCCTCGAGCTCTGCGCCGCACCTGTGCTCAGCGGCCTGCTGCCAGAGGCTCTCCTGGACGGAGGAGTCGAAGTCCCCCGGCAGCTGCTACGAGGGCCCTTCCTGCTGCTGGCCGAGTAGGGGAATATGGGGAACGAAGCATGACATAAACATACAGACTAAGAGGTCCGCGCGGATTTCTCGGATCCGCGCTGGAGCCCCGGGGCGCCGCCCTGGCGCGCCAGGGAGGGGGGTCCAGCGCCGATCCGAAAAACCCGCGCGGACCTCAGAGGTTTTATGTTTATGCCATTCTTCGATCCCTAGGGAAAGCCCACCTCTCGTGTGAACCGTCCGCAAAATGCCGCTCCCGCCCCATCGGGCCGACGGGGTTCCAGCCGTGCCGCAATAGAAAAGTCTGGGTGGAAGAGATTGGGCCACGGACGTGGCGGACCCGCTGCCCAGGTTCAACTTCGCGTAGGCCAGTGTGGACAGGAGTCCAAGCCTTCGCAATCCTCTTGCGCACGGCCTGGCTGCGCTGCCAGGTCGAATGCCAGAGGCTAAGCATCTCGCGGGGCAGCTGACGCGCGGGATCGCGCCGACCTGCACGCAGCGCCAGCTGCGAAGTCAGGCAGCGGCCGCGTCGCGCAGCTCCTGACACGGATCCTAGGCGACGCCGAAGCTCCTGGAGCATGCTGCCGAAGGCGCCGTGGACCTCGTAGCCGTAGGTTGCCGCCTTCTGGACTCCGTTCGATGTAGCTACACTTTGTGTATGTCCGAGAAGCTCGAGCCATGCCTCTCAATCGAGCGTGGGAGACGCGC